TATATATATATATATATATATATATATATATATATATGTATATATGTATATATGTATCTGAAAAGAGATATTGGATGTGTCTGAAAGAAAATATTTTTTAGAGAAGTCAGCTTATTGTTATGGTTACGAAAGAAATCTTGTTTCGGGTCACATGTTCAACCAACTTAACTTGCAGTGGCTATAGACATTGAATTAATAGCTTTTTATATTCTTAATATTAGATTAATCTGACAGGACGCTCATCGTTGAAGTGTTTGAGTGTCAGATATTGTAAATGGCGTGATCGATAGTGACAAGTCATTGCTTTGCTAATATTCAGAAGTATTTGGTGCCTTTGGACGTCTTTTCTGCATGGGGTCGCTCAACTACTTGCTATGCAGTTTATTAAAATTTGGTAGATTCAACTTCCTAACTATGACGTTGAAAATGTTAGACCGCATCCAATTCTCAAAGCACTATCGACGAATCTAAAGCTTGCGTACTTCAAAATTACAGCGCCTGCGCTACACTGTGCGAACTGATTAGAATACACTGACCATTGGTGTATAAATATTTATTCCAAAGATTGTATTTGCCTGTAATTATTGTGTCGGCTGAAGCTCTATCCCTCGAACTCTTCATATCGGGATAGTTTGGCGACTGGTATGCACCTACACGAGTACCAACGTGTGTAAAAAAATGTTTTCCGCTGAGCCTTCTATTGACTAACAGCGCACAGCGACTTTGTCTACAGATCTTTTCACTTCTGAGCACTTTTTCTCTGATGTGCTATTCGGACACGAGAATTCAACAACATGTGGCGACAGGTGAGACCCAATGCTGTCCGAGATATTGAATTCGTGCCAATCTTTTGTCAGAATCACACTCCTCACGACATCCTGCATTGAAAAGTAAATTTGAACGACATAAAAAAAAGAGTAAGGAACTTGGGTTCCACAAACTTTTGAAATGGTAGGCCAAGAGGCAACCACAGACAGATAAGCATCTGCAAAAGACTTGGAAAGGCCAATGAAGCTGGCAAAACGAGCGAACCCATATACTGTTGGTTACAACTAGCAGAATGTAATGACTGATTTGAACGTGACTTACCGATGTCCCCTTGGTTATTCCTTCATCATCAGTTGAGCTCTCTTGTTCCAATTTAACAGGCTCGATCGTTGAATTACATCCCATAATAATCTTATCGCTCCTCAGACAAAGCATCACTCCAGACCAATGCAGCTCCCGAGAATCGAAGAGCGTTTTGTTCATCACTTTACAAGCTGAGTACATGAAAGGATTATTGTCTGTTCCGCACAGCTGCGACGGGTACAGGTAATGAATAAGGCATGAGCTTGGTAGATAGCGGGTGAACAACACAAAACCCCGCGCTGTGACTAGAACACTCGAGATAACTCTTGCATACCTCCATCATCCGCCTCCCCTCCGGCGCTGCATTTCCAGACATCATTTTCCAGTGATGATCAGCGTAGATAATGATAGGGCCTTGCTCTATCATATCCAAGCGTTGCTCCACTATTAAAACCCCCGTGTTGGTGGCGAAGGTGTCGGCTTGACCCTAAAATTTGGAGACAAATCAGAAATGATTACGCACTGGTTTGGGAATAAAACCCCCAAAAATGGAGTAAAATAACACGAAGCATAATTTCGTGGTTATAAATTTGCGGATTGCAAATGCCAGTTGAAAAACAGTGAAGTATTAAAGTAGGAATAATTAACCCAAAAACATACAAAGGCCATGAGCTCAGATTTCTTCATTGCGATTTCCGTTTCCAGCTTCTTGTTTTCTTCTGTCATACTCAAGATATAATCCTTTGCCGAGCTGAAAATAGCAGTTTTGGTCGATCTTTTCTTCGCAGCCAGCTCAGGAATCGATTGTTTCAACTCTTTCAGTTGATCAGAGACTCGTGACCTCCAGAGCTTGTCGGCTGTTCGATCTTTGGTTCCCGACTAAAAAATATAAAGACATGATATGAGAATTAGTATCGACAGATAACATACGAGTGAGTATCAGAACGTATAACACGAAGTAAACAGGTCGTACAATATCCCGCCTACTATGAGTTTCAAGCAAAGATTAGTGCAGTCCTGATTTCCGAAGTCGATCGTATACCTTGGAGATCCTGCTGGAGGAGGCACTCGATATTGTCCTCGCGAGATTGGCGGAACTCATTTTCTCGACACGTTTGACCAGATCCATTCGCGGAAGGGTAACATTGCCCACAATCCTGGAAAAAAATACCCTGTTTATAAGTAAAGCCATTATTTAATACTTTCAGTAACAATTAACTGACTCGTACGAAAGCAAAACTGCGAACACGAACTAAATAACAAAGCCAGTAAGTGACATATTAAATACCAACGTGGTATTGGCAAAAAGTGAAATGTGAAAGTAAGGAAGGAAAAAGCTTTAAAGTCAGAAAAATTTGAGCTATGTACTCACTTAGACTTATTTTGCTCCTTCCTGGGAGACGAATGAACAGGAATGTCGCCGTCTGTTGCTGAGCCAAATCCGTTGTCATTATTTGCACTGAAACTGCTGCGCGGCGTGATGCAATTATCCTCGACCTGTTGATAAGTCAATGTAAAAGATTAGTCGCGAACAGTTGTATTCACTGAGGAGCAAAGCGCTACTGGTTCGAATATCATCACAATCAAAAAGTGTTCAGTCGAAAAATTACTATATATGAGCAAATATCGAAAAGATACATACCCATTCCACAATCGATGGGTACATGACTTGCACAGAGCTTCCATCTGATTCACTGCCGGGAGAAACAGTACTTCTCTTATTGGGTCTTGGTGGATTAATTTCCTCGGGCGTAAGCTCGATGCCCTTCGCTTGTTGTGACGCAACCCAAATATCCTGGACACAAAAAGATATTTGAATATGTCTTAATTATTTGATCACAGTATGTGTTAGAGGTTATCACCGCTTGTGACAAATATGCAATAAGCCTACATCAACCTAACTCAAAATAACAAGCAACTTACGTGCTCCGTGTATAGGAAATTTTCCAGATTCTGAAGAATGTTGTTCATGACCGTTCGTGACTTATTTGGCTCTGTCATTTGCTGCGCTTCATTCCGGTGGTTAGCCTCTACCAATCCAGACAAAAAGGATTCAAAAGGAGTTGTTTTCCACTTAATTTCGCCATGTTGTTTTGTGGGCTCCTATAGAAACCGAAGAAAGGCTAGTTAGTATGTGTTTCTAGGAGTTGGACTTAGTTGTGACCTTTCAAGGGCACTAATAGTGACCAATCGACACACTATGGCAATGATATGCCACTCGAACCTAAATCTCGTTTACGATAATAACATACCTTGTATCGGAAAGCTACAAAATCCCCGCTTCCAACAACTAAGCATGAATTTTGCTGCACGTGCTTAACATCATATACGCGCGCACCGTTCTCGTAAAAGACTTTGATGTCATCACTTCCGTTTCGGACTGGAGCCAGAGACGTTACGTAAAGCTGAGACGAGTGAAGGATAATAGTATTAAAAAAGCAAATCGATATCTTAGAGTTTGACCACTCCAAAAATGGATTCGGCTGATCACGTGACCACTAATCAGCCTAGTTTGCGCTACATGAAGCAATGTTCAAAAAAAAATAGTTACATGACCAAGATGACGTGATACCACTAACAGAATTGAAAATTCCCATTACTCTTCAAGTGCCGAATGAAAATATAGACAGACTGGAACACCTCGAAAACACGAACTCCTCCAACCTGCACTGTCTAGGTATTGCCAACAGGCGAAGTGTGCTATCAGAACAGAGCGAAGTGATAGAGAATATTACACTTATAAGTCATAGTGTACGCACTACTACTACTATTTACTTGCAACAATCTGACAACCGCATCGAAGCCAGTCGGGTAATTATCGAGTCAATTCTGTCGGAGAACTTCAGAAAGCTTCTGGACCGAAGCATTTTTAGTGAAACCTATTCATGTACTGATTGCAAAAACTATAGCGGAAGCATACAGCACAGTTTAAAATGCCAGTGGAGACCAAAACTCACCAATTTGTGTGCTCGGCTTGCCAGCATTTCGATCGTCCAGTTCGTCCAAAATACCATAGGACACGCATTCTCTACACTGAAATACCCATCGTTCGCGAAAAGGAAAACTCTGACCTCAAATGCACAGTCCATGTACATGATGACTGATGTATTTGATAGCAGCAAAATAGCTGAGTCCTACAGGTGTGAGAACGCTCAACAAGCGGCCAATTCGTCTATATTCTGCAGCTGATACTGCCAACAATGTTGTTTTCCGTATCTATTGTAAATTCACTAATTTTCAGTATGAGAACATAGGGATATGCAAATTCGTATAGCGCTTGTGGACTCACACCGTGGTAGCGTACCACGTTGAACAGAGTTACTATCCGGCCAACCCTCTCTCGTGTGGCTGCTATGTATTATATAAAAGCAATTGAATTTCCCGTATGATGAATTTGAATATATGTATCTTAAGAAATTATGGTCCCTCTGACCTCTGCACCAAATTTCAAATGTGTACGCGTCGACAGGACTGGCACCGCGACGGGCCGACAGCGCGACGTATTTATAAATATTTAATATATTTTTAGAGAGTATATTTATATTTTTCGTTTCCTTTTCTGAAAATCCCCAAAATAGTCCTTAGAGTTGGTTTTTCATAGCCTTCTCTCGTGATAGAAGCAGGCTACGATTTTTTAGCCTCTCTTTCGCATAGAGACTTTAGAGTTTTTAGACTTTATAGAGAGCCTATTCTTTGACCACGTTCTGCAATAATTTGATCCCACAAACGATAGGGAGGGAAAGGTGATATATCCGGCAAGTCATTGAATCCTGGATATTTTTAGCTCTATGTATAGCCAATATCACTTGAACTCTACTTCTATCCACTTTTATTGGTGAAAATTCGAATTGCCGGAATGTGTTTGTTTTCGTAACGACCCTCTCTAGGTCAATTTGTACCGCAGAATTGGGTCGTATTTATTTATGTATTTTGTACAAAAACACTTAAAAAATACATTTTTTCCTTCTTTTTTAAAAATCGGAAAATTTATAAATATTGTTTTGCTGTTTTTTTTTGTTTTTGAACGAGAATTCAGAACGCGGACTTTAAAAACACCATTTTTTTAACGGGAGGAGGTCTGGAGTCACTTTACTCTGGAGCATTGAAATTATCCCGTTTTAGGTTTTAAAATAGAACATATAAAAGTCAATGTGCTTTACGTAAATTCCAACGTTTACTTTGGGTTCGTTTAAACGTTTTTTTTTAAATAAAACGGTGCGATACAGTATTGAGTTGTTTTTTTAGTTTTTTTATATAATATTTATTCCCATATATACGCGTACGTACAACTGATACCGAAACCAAACGTTTTAAGTCCACGTATACTTTCGGTTGAACCTTGAACTCGAGTACCGTTTATATTCTCGTTATAAACGTTTACTTTCATTTGCTTTCGCATTTTTGTTTTACTAAATATAAATATATAACGGATCCTTGTATTTTTAGTATTTATGCATAGCCTTCTCAATTACTCAATTTATATTTTATGAGGACAGGTCTGCGCTGTTTGCGACTCTGCAGTATGCAGCTAAGCTCAATAAGTTATGGGTACGGAATATAAGTTCGTGTTAACTTTTGATTTTTAAAAGTATTAACTTTTATTTAGGACAAATCAACCAAAGTTTTTTTTTGAAACTGCACTCGACAAGCTGTCCTATCGTTGAAAATTTTAGGCTACAAAATTGATAATAGGCAATCAAAGAAGATTGAGCGTTTCAGTTGTGACGACTGTCACCTGAGTGACCTGTAAAATGCACCTATCATATCTGAAAGTGTACTATCGCGAAATAATAGTTGCAACTTTAATGTTTATTCGGGCAAAATAAAAGTTGCAACCTTTAACGCATTGAGCTTAGGTCTGCAGTATTTTTTTTTAAATACCGTCTGCGTCTGTGCGTCGTGTGCGATCGGTTTCGGAAATTCCGGATCGCCCGACTAATTTTTATTTAGTTTGTTCATTTTTTCTTGTTAAAAATTACATTTCATTGGCAAAAAGTTGGGCTCTACCCACTCGCTCCTGAGCGTCTGAGCCTCCTCTTCTTTCACAACACCACACTAAGAAGAAGAGAGAGAGGAACTGAGAGGAAGTTGATATTTACGGTTTTTTGGTGTTTGTTTTTTTTATAAAATAAAAAGCAAGTTGTATTTATTTATTTAATTATTATAAACAGGTGCAAGTTGGCTGTGTCAAATGTGTCATTTTTGGGGGGGGATTATAGGGCCTCGAATAGGCGTGCATTGTTTTGTGAAAAGTGAAAACCCCCCAAAAATACGCGTTTATGTCTGACAGTCTGACTCTCTGAGTTTCTCTCTCACTGCTAAAAACGTTACCCAATATAACGTTTATAAATAATAAAATTTTCGATTTACGTTCAGCTTTTATTTATCATATAGTCCATCTCCCATATGACTGGGTGCATTCATGAGGTCATACTATCATCCGATCTCTCACTTTTACTTTTTAGATTTTACTCATTTACTGTGTGTCGTCAACTCGTCTTGTCAGTGAGTGTGAACTGTGATGACTCAAGAGTGAATCAGAGTGAGTGTGACTGTGTGAGTGTGTGTTCATTGCTCAAGAAGATTCAAGAAACAGTGTTAACTGTGTCGTCGAATGTCGAGTTGTCGACTTGTCGACTCCACTCCTAACGTCAAAAAACTTTACACTAAACCGTTTATAATTTAAAAAAATAACGGTTAACGTTCAACTTTTAAATCTAATCCAAGATTTCGACAATATATTTTTTGAGTTTATAAAAGTTAAACCGTTTACAAATTGAATAAATTTACATATATCTACACTACGTATAACTTTTATTGACGTTAAACATTGTCACTGTGTGTCCACTGTCCAGTGATACAGTGACCTCAGGAATGTCCAGTACACAACCTACTTCACACTGTCACATAGTCACAGTAACAATTTTACTAAAATAAATATTGGTTAATTGTTTTAGAATTTTTTTTGTTTTGTGTTATTTTTTATCAACCAGATAATAATAAAACTGTGTGGTTTTAGTAGACTGGAGAGTGGAGACCCACACTCCTACGGCCACCAGGGTTTATCTATTTAATGTCACAGTGACAATTTTACTGATGTTTATCAATATAAAAATAACTGTGTGGTTAAAAAAAATAGTGGTAAACCTTGTTTGATTTTGTTTTGTTTTTTTTATCTAAAAAAGAAACAAAACAATAGTAAACACATTTGTAACTATTTATTAGCACCCAACCAGTCAACCAAGAGAGGCAATGAAGGTAGTGAGCCTGTGAGGCATATATTTATAGAATTAATTCCAAACAAGGTGTCAAGGACAGTGCTATGCCACTGCTACGGAATGTCCGAATGTGACGAGTGACGACTTGACAACCCTAGTTTGACGAGCGAATACGTGGCACACTCGATGGTGTCAAAAAAATAAATATCAGCACCTGGCTGAATTGACCCAGCGCATATCCTCCATCGTCCACTCACTTGGCCCAAGCTTCACACGGGAATTTACTAACCACTTCTTCCCATCGATCTTCCCCAAACCACTGCAGCGGCTATGAGAGCCATACCATATGTACATACAATGTAACTCATCTCCTTTGAAATAAACAATATTATCCCTATACTGGCGAATATTTAAGAGTACTTAGTACCACGAGCTATACCCAGCCTGTGCCACTAAGAGTAAAGTAGTAGAGACTCATACTGCGCGTAGTACCAAGACGCCACGCACTACTACTGGAGATGGTACTGGCTCTACTTCTACGGAACCGAAGGGTGAAACGAAAGTGAGAGCGCCTTGCAAGAAGTGTGGTTACCACCTCATTAAATGCAATGCCAAGTGAAATGGTAGAATGCCCTAGTTAAGTATGCAGAACATTGTTTACCCTTGTTTACTAGAGCACACGAATCGCGCCTTACTTAAAGAGTATGACCGATGAAATGACACTAACAACATCGTTCTGTTCAAAGTTGGCGATTACGTTAATATTATAAATCTCAATGCCAACTTTACCGAACTCTCTTCTATGACAACTAGACTTTGTGTTCATAACCACATGTCTAAGTTGTAGATAGACATCAGAACGTAAGTCACGTTAATACCTTAACAAGGATCACGTCTCTCTATGTGGATTCGTGCCCGTTCTACGCCACCCTATACGCCGCAGCTGAACGCCAAGGTTGACAGCACACACAATGTTCTCAATGTCATAGTTCATATACTTTTACTAATCGCTGGCATGCCTATTCCATTATGGTCTGAAACCAAGAAATGGGCTGACCGTGATCGTAATGAGACTCCTGGCACAGATACCACTTTTGGACTACATCTGAAATTTGGCACCAGATTTCACATCACCACACGTTTTCCCAGAGCTCGATTTGGCTATGCGGTTATTATACAAAATGGAAGGTAAGAAACAGGACAAACACAAGTATGACACTCAATGCTACTACCGTGTTCTTGTCGGTCGAAGTGCTACAAGTACAGACGACAGGTTTCTCAATTAACGCTTTAGGACATAACATAGCATATCATTCCGCAATGCACAATTTCTCTCAGACGGGAAACCTCAATGGTCTTCTAGTGGAAAACGTGCTACTCAATCAGCTACACCCCGTAGCTACGACATACCGCCCGACTGGAACTCACACACTCAAATTACTACAGTTGTCGTTCCAACATATATCGGACATACCTCCTACAATGTCCACGACCCCGCAATTCCCTGCTACTTTCCCATTTGCAGGTCCAATTGCCAGTGATTCATCAGACGCCCCTTTTCAGCCACACCCCTTTCCACAGCCTACCCCTCCAGCTGACGATTCGGCCACACCTACAATTCCTCCGGTTCGTACACCGCTACCCAAAACATTGCGCTATAGCTGCAGCAGATTCTCGTACGCATCTCCATGAATTTCATTTTGGGTTCGAAATCACGAATTTGTGTCGAGAGGTACCGAAGGTTTTCAGCTTCATGCATACCAGTGCACCCTGTCTATAAATTTATATGTATTATCTTAAAAGTTCTGTTCCTGTTCTTTCCCAAACGACATATTTCCTAAAGCGAAGAGAGCCTTAGCAGCCCCTTCTTTCTGTAAAGATTGTGTTGGCCTATTTGAAAATAAATCGGGTCCAACATATAAAATCGGGTATTCTTATGCCTGTTTAAGATAAATGCATGTAGCTGTTTGTTTTGCGGGTTATCCTAATATGATAACTACATTGTGGATTAGGCAACCACTCCTTCGATATCCTTTTGTCTAGTGTCACTGAGCATATTTTTAAAGTCTCATTAGATGTATGAATTAGACTCTGTAACGCGCGTGTATCTTCTATGCGTTCCTTCTCTTCTTCTTGCATCATTCGTTGTGTGAGATGGGAGACTTGTGTTTTCATTTTCGCCGCTGTGGATTCAGCGAAGTAAATATCTTCAGACTCTGTGAGCTTACAACGCTTCACGGTCTGCAGGTCTTTTAGGTAACGATCGAGATAAAAGAGAATCACTTCCGGTATGCTAGCGTATCGATGATGTGAGTACTTTAAAAGTATCTTGAAAATAGTTATTAGTGAAATATGCTCAGCATACCTCGGTAGACATATGAAAATCATAGAGGAAGTTCTATATATAATAGTTTGTTGCAAGTGGCATATGCAAGAAGAAAGAAGTTTTACATATTTGAACTAGCTCAGATGGTTACTTTATGGCGTCGTCGATTTTTACCATGCTCTCTGTGGAAGCGGAAGTGATTTTAATTGTACCTCAAGATTAACTGGCACTCGTCCTTTCCAAGTATTCCACATTTAGGTATGTAATTCAACTGTGCCAGTACGGTGAAGTGATATTACAACATTTTGATATAATTAATGTGAAAGTAAAGTGGAGTCACAAGTGCGAATTTCTGGCAAGTGCCCCAACGGAAATGAACAGTAATTGCAAAACCGTATTTCATGTACAAGTTCGTTTTGAAAAAAACCTAGTTCGTTTGTACAAGTTCAGGTAAGAAAATATGTAGCCACATAAGTAGTAACTGTATTTATCCCCTTAATAAGTAATTCGGGCAAAGAAATATGTAACCATAAGAGTAGTAAAGGTATTTATCCCGATAATTTAGAGTGTGGTAATATTTGTGCACAGTTGTCATACACACAACTTATGGCGGAATATATGGGGTTTGTGACACCAGTGTTGACACGGTCACTGACACTGAATGGTGTTTGGTGCCGCAGATATCATCCTAACTGTTCCGACTTCGTCTAGACACATACAGTAGATGCGGCGAATGGTTATACAAACTGGTCTGTACAAAGCCGTTAAGTGGTGCAGATGTATTGTATGCTGTGGTGCCTGTCACACGGCTGAGTTCATACGTTTAGAACGACCCTAGGAAAAGCGTGCACTATTTCAAGCTGTGAGCGAAAATGTTCAATATGAGTCGACTTCGAACGTGCTATGCAGCCTCGTCAAGTACTCGTAGTACGCATACAATACGCCATAGATCTGACGAGTACAAACAAATATTCAATTGTGAGCGCCTACAAATGTGCGCAGGAGTTTGTGGGATGTTTTATTTAGAAGATTCATGTTTTCCTTTCGTACTTATCTGTATTAAATCTACCTGCCTCCATGTGCTGGTATTTTTTTTATCTGATATATTATTTCAATAAGATTACAAGTCCGTTCGAAGATTGTAAAATCTATTTCAGTTCTTGGCCTGTATGCTATAGACACTAACATCATACGATTACACGTGGCTGAGCCCATCACGTCTATAAATAGAATGAAACTTCAATATTTCAAAGTATATTAGAGCCCCTTTCAAGTGGACCCGCAATACTAAACAGACTGCCGAACCTCTACAGTTGAAACAAAAATCCAAGGTCTTCCTCACTCAACCGGTTAAGGGAAGCGGGATCCATACCGATGGTGCTGATGTGTTAAATATACAGAAAAATATTTGTACTAGTTGAAATATAATAAAAATTTAAGCCGAACATATTGAAAATACTCGACGCGATTTCATTAATACACGATGCAATTTCACTAATGGCATTTGCAATATACGATCCAGAAAAATACTCGACCAATTTATTTACACTCTTGCCCAGGACTCAAAAAGAAAAATAATATCACGCAAAATACCAAATATCGAAGCAGCGAAATAAAAACGTGCAATCTCTTGACTTTTGCATGGTATGTAAGGTATGAAATGAAACACCACACAGAAGGACCCATACCTTTCGAAAAGTAGATGCTTTTTCTCCTGAAGCGCAATAATACGTGATTCGATGCTATTCTCGACATAAAGTCTGATAACTTCAATCGGGCGAGTTTGACCCAGTCGATGTATACGGTCCATGGCTTGATTTTCGACAGCCGGGTTCCACCCTAGTGATTTTACAAAAAGCGTACGCCAGTCCTTGAGAACTATAACCAAACACTTATGCCACGATCTCTGAAACCTTGGAAAGAAGGGAATTGTCTATTGCCTCCATCTGCCTGTAATAGTATATTATCTGGAGCGCGAAAGCCACCACAGCAAGTGCAATCTGATTCGACAGACAATGAATAAAGATGATACTGACATTGACAAACCCCAACAGCAGCAATAATCTTTTGCAATGACATAGATGATACAAAAAGTAAATGAAAGGCATTGACAAAATACGCAATAGAAAGCAATCGCCAATTCCAACGAGATTTCTGGAATGTCCACGGGATGGATCATTCTTTCGGCCGTGTATTCAACGTATGTATTCCGACGTAGTATCAAACGACCCTGGCCAATTTACAAACTAGAAACAGATACGAAAAACGACAATAAAATAAACTTTATGGGGGATCTCGCACAACTTACAGGGGTCACACATGATGACTCTAGAAGCTTCCGTTAAATTGAGTGCGACACCACCTGAAACGTGGCAAGAAGAGAAACTTTATGAGTCAATTCAGCGGGATGCTGAGCTGACGAGTTCTACATCGGTAACAAAATTATTTCAACGAGCTTTACTTTGGAACACATATAGCACGTAGTCAGCAAGACTGAAACCAGGGTCGAAAGTTCAATCCCAGAGCAATTGATAAACGTATCCACATCGATATATATCGTCTCCGACTATCGAAGAAACAAACAATTGTATCAGACTAATTACCTGCTTTAAGCGAAACGAGGAAAATAGTAACCGTGTGATTTGTCATAAATGCATCTATGACCGCCGCTCTTTGTTCTGGACTCATTCGCCCGTCCAATTTCACACATCGGAATCCTGAACGCAGTAATCTCCACTCAATTATGTCCAAAAAGCTGACGTACTGACTAAATACGATTGTTTTAATCGTCGTTCCTTCCTTCTCTCGCAGCAAAGCCAATTGTTCTATAAGTGCTTCAACCTTGGAGGAACTTTTCCAACCTCCTATGTCCATACGATTTAAAATTGACTGCCGTTGCTGTGATGCCGCTGCCCTATAGAAAAAAATACACAAAGTTAACCGTTTAACGCATGGTCAAGTAACAAATTCAGTTGCACGGCAACAACTACAGCGATTTTTTTTTTGGCAGAACGTCTAGTTCGCTATCTAAGATTACATGCGCGATACGATGTGGCGAGATGCAAAATAATAATAATGACCTTCTGTTTAAGTTTTAAACTGACCTTGCAGCAGATGATTGTGATATAGTTGGTTGGCTAAGGTCGATGGAGAGGGGCACAAAGCAGACCGGACATTGGGGTACCTGTCCATCTATACTGCTCTGAAGGTACATTTTAATATCCTCTCTGCAAAACACGTGCTTGCATTTGGCTCTGATTGGATCTTCCGCGTCCTCCTGGCAAACGCCACATACGTCTGTAGAATTCATAGACAGGTGTTAGCGCACCGTCACCCAGAACAAGCATTCGCAAATGGCACAAAAAATAAATTCAGCCCAAAACTCGATTAGCTATGAAGCCTAATTTTTGCGAAGCACAATTATGGTCCTTGATTACAAACAACACCCGAAAACGACAGTCAAAATATTCCATCTGCAGAAAGTTTGTAAAATCTGTGACCCCATGGTCCATTCGTACCTTGCGCATCACCAGCTGATATCCTCCCACGTCCATACAGAACGAGATATGGATGATTAGCCGCTTGCCTCATCTTCATCAGCAAATCGAATATATGTGCGTAGTTATTGAGTAGCACGCCTTCCGATACGTACGTCAAAAATTTGGTCCGCGATTGTGAATAAAGAGCTTTGTAGAAATCCAGTTCTTCTTCATTGAACCAGACCTGAAGAAAATCAGAGTCCAGATTATAAGAGATCGTAGCATCCAGGAAACAGGTATCACCTCAAAGATTCGATCCACAAACAATAAACGACAAATCTGACCCAAGGATGTGAGGATGCGAATTTTGGACATGAACGACAGTTTGTCAAAGCCTAAGTTGCGAGCGCGAAAACCAAGTATGATTTGAACTACGTCTATTCCATCGAAATAAACACACCTTTTTTCTGACGACGATCCTTGGAGGCAAACCAAGATCATCGGCCTTCTCTAGCTTCGTCCGCCTCAACATGATCTTCTCCAATAAAGCACCTAACTTCACAAATCCAACTCTCCCAGGGCCGTAATTGCCATACTTTTGTATTGGCCTCAGAATTTCTTTATTCCACCAACAAAAGTGACTACCAGGAATAAGACCCGAGTGTTTCGAAAATAGCACATGGTTAGCATCGTGTCCATTTTTCAAGTTAATCGATCATTCAGCTTTGAAAGTAAGCAAGAAAGACATACTACACCAATAGACTAAAATGAGACCGAAATCATTCACATACATATTTACCTCATCGGACTGCATCCACATGTGTCGCAATGTTTGTAATCCGTGAACTTCCAGAAGAGAGACTTGCATTCACATTTGGAGCTGCGCAAAGAAGAGCCAACATGTTAAAAATCTGAAAAAGACTAATTCAGCTCAAATTCTTTATAGCACGGAATCACCTTGCACAAAACCGAATGTGCTGAGTGCCGTTTCATGCACGTACGGCACAAGCAGCAGGATATAATCCACCGGGAGGACAAAAAGACATACCAGAAATAGTAGCTATAGGGAAATGTGCGCATGAAGCGAATGAGTGAGTACAGTTCACCCACTCTATTCTGCAGTGGAGTTCCACTGAGACTCCACTTTGCAGAGGAATTGAGACTAAGAGCCGCTCGTGCACTCGAGCTTGACCTGTCTTTGATATTATGTGCTGTTGACCGCAAGGAAGAATGAAATGAGCGCGCAACATATAGAAATGATAGAAATGTAAAACGATCTTCAATTGAACTAAGAGCATCAGAATTGAGCACAAAATCACACAAAAGTGATGAAAATCAGACATGGTCGAGAAGTAAAAATGGCGGCGTGCAACCATACCTTCGTCAAGGATTATTCGATGCCAATGTATTTTATGCAATGTAGACGGGCTCCTCTTCAACTCTTTACCCATTCCCTTTGTCTCACGTCTATACTCACTCTCTAGAACACTGTAAGTAGATAAAACTACGTTGTACTTCAACAGGTCCTTGTGATTGGTCGTGCGACCCGAGCCATGGAAGACACACACTTTCAGCGCTTCGTCCTTCACATGCTTGAGCACTTCGTTACGCCATTGCATAAGCGCAACAGTGGGACATATTATAAGACTCGTATGTCCCTGCTCGAAATCTGATAACAGCAGAGCGATAGTCTGAATTGTTTTTCCCATTCCCATTTCATCGGCAAGGATACCTCCATGAAATTCAGTTTTCTCCTGATCTATCATCCACGCCACGCCTTCAGTCTGAAACGGTAGAAGTGTGAGCTTCAGATGTTCTGGCTGGGCGGCTTTCTTGGGGCCACCTTCTATTAATGTTCTCTTTACCTTATTCGTTTCACTGAGGAAATTTACACGGGCGTCGATCTCAGAGCCTTCCCAGACACCCTGAACCTGCAGGTGATATATGTGACACAAACGACGAGCCGTTACTATGGTAACACATAAAACGATTTTGAAGCATAGATCCGGACTCACGGCTGACCCTAGCTCATCGCTTTTAGTTCGACACAAAGCTGGGATCTAATCGGGCACAACCAGAGATTGCTAACCGAGTGTCGCCCTGTTATACTGTGATATAGCCGCGACATGTCCACAACAAAAAGTCAGTCGACAGAGAGATAGCAGGAGCGAGATCAGGATGCATAGTTATTCAAGCATTTTGAGAGAATATTTACACATCAACAGATCCAATATGCATACCTCGGGGTGAAGCTTGTGAATTTTTTCATCCCTGGTCAATTTCTTCACTTTTGGTTTCTTAGCTCTTGTATTCTTCTTCCCCTTTATACCCTTCCCTTTCGCGTCCACCTGTTCTTCATCTTCCTCACTGTCAATTTTGACTTTCCTGAAGCGTTTCCTGCCTGAAGCCAGAACACCAAAATTTGTCAGCTCAAGCAAATAGCCACATCATAAAACGCAAACATCACACTTGAATAGACTCATCAGCATGCCATAACAAGGAAAAGTGCGCCCCAAAACCCACCTTTAGTCACAATTTCTTTTGTAGATACTTCACGCTCTGACACGACCACTTCCTCCACCTCGACATCTGATAGCTCTCCGACACTTTTTGCGGCTTCGACATCATTCTCGCTCTTCACACGCGAGACAGTATTGCCACTTGCCAGAGATACCGCAACAAGTCCCTCGAACTGCTTCTTCAAGGCCGTTCGCAGCATTTCCTGTTCTAATTTGGCCTGTGTTTCCGAATTGCCTGTACCTTCGTTGGCTATTGCAACCTCCACTTTCACAGAAGTTCTGGCACTCGTCGACTTACTTCTAACTCTTTTCCTGCTATTTTTAAAACTATCATCGCTCGATAGGTCCTCGCTAGCAACATCTGAGTAATCTTCCGACTCGGAGCTGGCAGCGGCTATAGAACTAGCAGCGCCCCGATTGCGAATCGAGCGTCTGACCTTTCTATCATTTTTGTCTTGCTCGGGATTCCATTCCTGTGGTGTCAAGACCATATTAACGGGTCCGCAAAATGTCGTGGTCATTTTAATGTATGCACATCCCCAAACAACAGAATGTATTAATGAGACACGACAGTACCCTTGATTAATACATTGCGCATCAGGGGTGGATATAAATATATGATAAGCAGGCATGTACAGGTATTCGAGGCACTGCCAACACAAGCCTATGCACAGACTATGCACATCCAATAATATGACCTGTAGCCAAGCACAAAAATTCGCAATTGAAAGCTGTATACAGTTGACCCAGGCTAGACCGTACCAACCACAGAAGACAACTCAAGGATGACAGGATCGCTCAAAGAATATACCGAAAATTAAGTGGGGATAAAATCCACACTACCACAGACATCACGGCCCGTTTCTTACTGTAGAACTATACCAACCGAAACGAAGCGATTGTATTAAATAACGGCAGCAGAGATGGTGAACCGCGATGTAATAACACACTGATAAGGAAATGACAGCATCCGCTGTCTGGCAAGAGCTATTAAACGCGATACAACATTTGAGCCGGTACAGAGAAAAATACTGTCAACACAAACACACTTAGAACGTGTACATGCACCCGTATGCGAGTACACATTAACGCGTGTACACACCGATACAGTACATGGAAACATACAGACAAAGATATATCAACAGAAACAGACACAGAAATAGACACATATCCACACATATACGTACAAGTTTACCAACGAGTATGTGCAAACACACATCTACACATACACGTATACACAAACACACCTCGCTTTCCTCTCCGCTAGTCACAGCGACGTCGCTCATAAAGATTTCCTCATCATCCGATGATACGACGGATACTTTATTGACGACCTTAGTAGGTCCCTTCTTAGCCTTGCTTGCATTGACTACTGCTTTGGGCGCGGGTGTTTCGCTCGACGATGCACCGTCAGCAGATGGGTCAGCTGCCAAGCGTGCGCTACTACGAGAGCTAATGCGTGCTGATGTCCGTACTTGAATGGTGCGTGCCATACTTAATATACAACTATATATGGATACTATATATGAATATGATACTGTGTATATGATGCTATATAAAAAAGAAAAATGGAACTGTATATATGATATGCCGAAGTGTGTGACGTACTTCTCCACCGAGTATGAAACCCTTTCAGAATAAGAAGATGTAGGGTTTAATTCGCTCTACGTCTGATGCTTCACTATCGCGATTTGTACCACAGTGCGTACCAATATTTATATGCACCACACGCGCAATATGCAAAATGCACAGTAGGTGTGCTTTTCTTGTGTGCAGGAAAACAAGCAAGCCGCCGACATGATGCGAAATTGCGAAGCTTGGTAAATATTAAAATCAAGAGCAATGGGTATTTGGGTGACACCTCTTGCCGTAATCAATTCATTAATGTTAGGTTTACGACACACGTGATCGTCGTAAATAAAACACAGCTGATGAACACGGTTAGACAAGTCGGGAAGAGTTTGATACATCCCTCAACTATAGTATCGTAGAATATATGCGACAAAAAGCGCGGGAAATCCAAAATATACAGGGTAAACGTTTTGTCGCATAAATATTAAAAATACACTTATGTACATATGGATGTATGTCTGTATTCATAAATTTTACCCACACGTTACCTATACAGAACCGAAGCATATGTAGTACTGCAGTTCAAATGCGAATCACTGAGGCTTTCGTCAAGCGTACATGCATGGGTGTCTCTGTGGTGGGAATTTGATCAGTTATAAAAATTGAGACAGTCGAATTGGACACCGTCACATCTGTTCGCAAGTACTTAATACGCTTGTTAAATAGTGTGAATTGCGCTCCGACGTGCAGTGTGCGTGTCATCGTGACATAAAAACTTCTGCGTAAAACTGTGGATGTATCTCTGTAAGCATGAGCTAGTTTTGATTCTAGTTGCTCTCAAAGTAAGCTGAAGTATGGATTCATCACATGTTGCCAATCGTGGGGGTACAACCCCCACCAAACCGGCGCCCAAATCTACGCCTACAGACGCCGCCGAAATAACGCCCGAGCTAGTGTCATTTGGAAATCCCACAATTCTGGGTAGTGAGTTTTTGGTTACAAATGATAATACATCTGTTGATAGTGTACTTGCCGGATGTGGTGGAGAAAGTGAGTCGGGAGATAAGAGTATGCAGAATGTACGTGCGCATTTGATTAGACACTATGACGAAGGTCAAAGCGAACCTACTTTAGGCGAAGGTGTGCGTGGTTTAGATGGAACCTCTGGTGTTGAAGGATCCGAGTACGTCCACACAGATCCTTTAAATTCTAACAATAAAACACAGCGCAGCGTAAATGAAGGGAGACACCGAACGCAAGGAGCACGGAAACGAACACTCAGCATTGACAAAGCCAGAAGCGATAGTCAACAATCAGGTCCAGTATTCAACAATACACACAACCCTCACGAAGAAGAAGAGCCTTATGCGTCTCGCAAGAAAGCACATAAACAACTTAAGGTGAAAAACAAACCCGATTCGCACCCGGTAACTAGTAACTATCTAGATCGAGGATTGAGGCCAATAGGGGACGATCGGAAGCCGGGCCATACTACGGATATGCATGCACTTGATGGAATGGGTGGGATGTCGCCGAAGGGTTTAGGCAAGTGTGTGGTTATTGTATTAATTTTTATTGTCGATGAGGGTCATTGGCGGTATGTATACATAGATATTATATGGCGTAGATATGGCTCTATTGGAGGTGTTAGAGAACGAAAGCAATGCGGCTGTTACACATCTTGTTTTCCGAGTGGCTGTGACCTCTGCAACAACGTAGACAGCTACTATTTGACGTCTTGTCTGTATTTTGTTGCGCAATGATGGAGTTATTGGAGAACGGTGTGGTGAGTTCTGTTTTCGGGAGGAAGTGCCGTTGGGAGTGTGATAGTTTCCACCGATTTTATTTGATTTAAAACTATGGGAGGTTGTACTATCGTTTGGATGCGCCTATCGGTTATGAGTGCTGGCAGAGAATCATACAGTACACTACTTCAATTTGGCTCAACATACAATAACGGTGGTGTTGACTTGTATCCTTTTAAAGTATTCGACGACCTGGCCCCTAAGGGCGATCATGAAATATTGCTTTCAATTCGCTTCATCCTTATTGCTCACCCTTTGGGTTGGTAGTGTGTCTTATATATGCTTATAATCTGCGTATGGGATGAACAGGTGCATGCAAGTATGAATTATCCCATGGAAGTGCCACTCATAGTTTCCAAGACTTGCCATCTGGGAGTATCTGCGACGGGGCCGCCAGTGGAGGTGAAGACAATGCGAATGGCGCGAATGATGACAACGGCGGCAAATTGCTTAACTGTAGTAATTTAAAATGGGATAGCCGCGAGGAGGACAATCTAGATTATAGCGATGTTTATGATACCAATATGTCCTTCCTCATACCCGAGACTTTCATCAGTCTGCAACAACCCTTGTCCAGTTTGCCATCAAGTCAGGTACGCGGGAATTCGCTATGTGATCCTTCACAACCATCCCTCCGGACACTCCCAACACGTGACTCGGCACATTCACAGTCCAGCGTACATACACAAGTGATGGCATCTGAGGATGGTTCTGAAGAGAAAAACTCGGAGGCTGAAATGTGCGCAACATATCCCAGTGAGAGCTTCACGGAGAATCCACGTGTTGGCGAGCCGGCGGCAAACCAGTATGATACCACTGAGAGGAATTTGCAGCGAAGACAAACGCAGACACAGACTCAAACACAAACACAAACACAGACACAGAAACAGATACATACAGGGGCGACTGCTCGGATACAGGGAAAAGGAAAGGGTCTAACACTGCAACAGAAGGTTGTCCCATCCAACACCTCTGTAGGTATCGACTCGAGCGATCTCGCACAGGACGGGCGAGTGGCTGTGGAATGTTACAATCACAATGCTATCATTTCTGAAAAGCTTCATCATACAGGTGATCAAGGTCATTTTGAAGAGGACAATACTCATGGTACTAGTCAGGCAAACAGACATACAAACGAGGGCAAGGGAGTACCGCATGGTGTCAAAGACAGCGGTGTCGTGAATGATGATGGTGTAAATAGCGATTATAAAAAGATAGGTACACCCACAGGACGTAGAATAAATGGCATCGATACAGGCTTAACAGATAGCAGCCCGCAGTCTACTGTCGGGGTGGGAGAAGAAAGCGGAGCACCTGCTCCAGGGCAGAGCAGAGTACGTGGTTGCCAGGGTGACTGTGACGACTGCAGTCTAAGTGGCAAAGTCTGCTTAGCAAGCCATGACACCCAGGCGCTCGAGGTAGCACGTGATGAACTGCCTGGTAACAAGAGAGAGGTGACTGCCAGCTGCACTGCCGCGCATGCTGACATAGGAGTGTCTTTATTGAGTGAGAAATCGAGTGATGCAAGAGGTGGACCGAGATCTGAAGCCATGGTGTCTAGTTTACCGCCTATGCAGGAGGTGCGAGTAGCCCAGGCTATGATGGCGAAAATTCAGCATGCCATCACTTGCTCCATCTGGTAGGTTGTATCCTGTTACTATGTTTTTTTTTTCCGAGATGTCAGTTTTGTGTGTATAATCCTGTGCGTGCTTGTGTATTCTTTTGCGCGCGCGGATGTGGTTACATATACTTCATTTTTCGAGCATACTGGTGTTTTTGTCCAACCTTTGAAGGTGCATACGGCGATGTTAGGCATAATGTTTATTAAATTTATCTTTTTCTTATTCGTGTCCGGACATATTCGGAGGACTCTGTCTGGCACATTGAGACATATGCGTGTATGACGATGTGATCCGCCTTTAAAGCATCCACTCTTCATCCCATTCCACAATCCCCTTACAATTCATTGTAGTTGTTGTTTCACCCCTGTGGCTGCAAATGATCCAGGTTTAATCAAGAATTTTTTATGCCTGGCCCACATAGGAAATATATTGGGCGCCAACTGATCAGGTGATTCTACAATTTGACTGTTCTGTCACATCTACAGCTTATCCCTTCTGCAAGCTCCAATGAAGACACCCTGCAACCATCGCTTCTGCAAGTATGTTATAATTGGTTCTGCTTTTATTTATATATTTTTGTTCTTTAAAAACACGTCACCTTTGGTACTGCTATAATTTTGCCCTAGGTTTAGCTTCTGGGTGCGTGCTTTAGACAGGAATCAAATGGCTTTCAGCATTCTCGCTCTTTCTACACCACGGTCGCTTTCTAAAAGGTTTAAACCACTACTCACCTTCCGCGTTATTTGGATAGGTTTTGTATCGCTACTCATCTCAACAACCAAGCGTCATGCCCGCTGTGCAAAGGCCCGGTAACGAAACGTTCTCTCGCAGAGGACAATGAAATGCTGAGTCTGATTCGGAATAGCAAAAGGCTTGCGCGAGCGATAGAAACAGATACTGATGGATGTGGTAAGTGAAGCATTTCATGCGCTACGTATTGGCCCGTCCTATGTGTATTGAGCATTTCAGCATATCCGTTTCACATCTAGTGCTAACCTCGAAATGCCACTCATTAGGAAATGCATGGTATCGCTATTGCGTATAACGGATCAAACCTTCCTAGTAGGGGCGCAAATCTTTATGACCATCCCTCCAATAGTTCACATATCGTGACTACAATATAACATTTGCTCGGTATATTTCCCAGTTAATAACACGTTATTGCGGGTGCAATTTGCCATCCGACCTAGTCCTTCTATGCAAGGGAATTCCCATGTACACAAACAGATGTAAATATATATACCTGTGCATGTTGATACACATACACATACACATACAAATATATCCATACATACATACATACGCGCATACATACATACATACATACATACATACATACATGCATGCATACATACATGAACATACATGAACATACATACATATATATATATATATACATATATATATATATATATACATATATACAAATATACATACACACACACACATACATACATACATACATACACACATACACACACACACACACGCACATACACATACATACACACACATGCGCATCCAAACACATACACACACACGTGCACCAGAACAAGGACACATACCGACACACACACAAACACAGACACACATACACAAATATAATATATATATATATGTATATATATATACATATAGACATACATACATACATACATACATACATATATATATATATATATATACATTCATATATATATATATATATATATATATATATATATATTATATTCATATTCATATCTATCTATACCTATATATACTTTTTGATTTATTTGTAAATGTTTTTACTATCATCTATGAATATAACCCAGTTGCTACTTATTTTAATCCTTCAGATACTCTGGATATCGCGGAGCCACAGTGGTGTGGGACACAGGATGTAAGCCAAGAGAAGAACAACATTATCGTATAGTTCTCTTGGATTGAGCTATCGTCGGTTAAAATATGAACCTTGCAAATAGACGGGAGTGAATCAGATGGCATCAGGTTGCCGACTTGTCATTGTCAGAGAAGTATTTTTATAGGAAGCTTCGCAGAGACAGACCGTATCCGTTTTCTACGCTCGTGTACTGTACTTCATTAAAGAGCCTTGAATAGAGATTGTCGGTTCATAATAGCTGCTTATTATTATCAGCACAGGCAATTTACGATACTAATACTTTGCGTCTCCAAGATGAGAAGGTACCCTCTAGGTGAGTGTGAATCCGAGGTGTAGGACTTGTGTATTTAATTTTCTCTCTTCCGCACGTAGATGAGTATATCGCTAGTAGTCATATGGCGCAGAGCAGACACAAGTTGAAAGAGTCGGGTCGCTTGGGTGCTATAACTGATAATAACAAACATGCCGTCCTTCATATATTAATTTATACGCGTATGTGCGACTGTGCGTCTTGCGGTAAATCTCTTGTGTATGTATAGTATTTTTTATTTATTTTTTGGTATTGAGGGGCGACGCCACAGGCGTTTTACTCTCTCTGGTGAAGAAATTGATGTAGTATCATAAATCTAAAAATATAACCACACCTATTGGTTGAGGAGCATATTTCTTTGGATTCTTATCTTTGCAATCTCGGTGCGAATTTAACGGAGAAAGAGTCACGTCGCAACATCCAGAAAGGAGGTAAAGGAAGGTTGGTACAAATTTACTATTAAATAAATCCTTTGTCTACCATTTTAGTAGCATAGATGGAGCCCGGAGGTTGTTGTGCTTCTAGAGACCAACCCGCCATAATCTTTCCGGTTTATTTTCATGCTGTATCAACCTGCGTTTAATCATCCCCCGTTTAGCTCCACGCAAACGGGACTTAATTCAATACTAGTAAAAGTGTGGCGCTTTACGTTGTTCATTGCCACAGCTAAACATCGCCTCTTGAACAAGGTGAGTAGAATGAAGAAGAAATAACGGCGCAATAGTATTGGGAAGAAAAATTATACACACAGATATACCATCGTGCAGTTATTGATAGACAGCGTACGAGATAGTGTAGCATAGTAGACGGCAAGTTCAATCGAGAAATAACACTGATAACATGAAAGAAGACTTACCTAATGAGTTGGCGAATACCCTTGGGGCCTCATCGCCCGAGATATTCGCTAACTTGTTACCACAGAAATGTAGTTCAATTGCCACTGAACTGCCCTTGAAAATCTCAGAGGGTGTGCGCGTGCGCAAAAGATCTTCAGATATACAGTCGAATTTTGACTCGAGTGGCGATAGTGTGGAAAATGGAACGAGCCTTGATAAGTCCTGTAGTGTTCGGGGAAAGCATGTAAATACACATCCGAATGCAAGATCGTGTGGTAAAATGGGAAATAGCATGCGGCCGAGGTCTCTGTTGGTACCATCGCATGCAGAGTTTGTGGAATTGGTGATAAACATCGGGAACTGGACAAATGGAAAGTCATTCACCGGCGCAGATCTGGTGGCATGGTTGATGAGAACAAATGTATGTGAATTGCAAAACAAATAGTGCTCTCTCACTTCAAGTTTACACGGACGTTCTGCACGCTTTATTTACTCAAACTAGTGAGCTGCAAGACGCTGTCATGTATGCATTCTGGTTGCATTGTGGTCACGTAAGGTGCACCGGTGAATACAGAGAAATGTAAGAATACGTCAATGTATGTAGAACTATTTGTAAATATATACAAGTACAAACATATGTATATGCAAGTGTACACAGAGACAGACAGACACGCGCACACACAAACACACACACACATACATATGTGTATACTCTCACACGCACGCACACACACGCACGCGCACACATACAAACTCACAAACACACACATACACACACGCACACACACATATAAAAATATTATTATACATATATATATATAAACACATACACACACGCAACATACACAGACCCACACAAACACGCACACACACA